CACCTCTTCTATTCCTTCAATCCCACCTTTGTTCAGGGCCCCAAGTATGCACTCCCAAAAACGAGAACAATACTGTTTGTAACTTATAGTTGGCACAAAGAATGTAATGCGTCTTGACGGGCATTGCCGCTTCCAGTTTCCCCCAAAGATGCATCGTCCACTTTGCCGCGTTCTCTGACGGGTTAAATGAAGTGCTCCGATATCTCGCGCAATCTGATCCAACTTCTCTTCTAACCTGTTCAATCGCAAGCTGTCTTTTTGGTCTTTGATTCGCAGTGCTGCCGCTGACTCCTGTACCGACTCACTTGCCACTCGAGCAAGTTCCACCACCCCCTTCTCTGGGTGTCGTTCACAACCTGCAATCGATCCTCCATCCGTGCTCCACTAACAGTGGCTGGCTTGAAGCATCATCCAAATCTGGCAGGGTCCGGTCCAACGACTCGCCGAAACGGAAGGCAAACTTGACCGGATCCGCTTCTGGCCGCCTTGAATCGTCGCATCGCGTCCTGGAGGTCGGTCGGACTTTCGAACCCGCGATTAGCGCCTCCTTCGCCGTAATTCATTTTAACTTGACTGGGCCTTTTCTTTTCACATCCAGGATCGCCTTCCCCCACCCCTTGAGTAGAATCCGAAGCGCAACCAGGTTCGCCCGCTTCTGCTTCACTCTGACTGCTTCCGCGACATCTTCGAAGTCCTCCAGGAATCTCAGTACATCCCCATACTTAAATGGCTCCGCCCACGGGATCTTCATCCTCCATTTCCTGCCGGTCATGGCACCAAGTGTGGAGAAAACGACGCGGTGCGAAGGAGTTGTGTACTGGAAAACGTAACATTTCGAAAATAGAACAGTCGCACTCATTTGCGCACCTTATTCATGGCGTCACTTGATGCTACGCTCCCCACAGCGCTCGACTCAGCTTGCCATGACGGCGCGTTATAGACTAGAAACTCCAGCGTCATCTGTTTCCATGGCTGGTTGAATTGTGCACTACGCGCTTGTCGTCCGCGGTGATCCGTTATTTTCTTCCTTCATCGCGCCTGCACGTTGAACCATACTACGTATTAGTAGTGCACCACACAAATACAGCGAACCGAACTGTTTACACGTCAGCAAATACAATACTGCTACACCAACACTTAAGTATTGTATTCTGAGCTCCTGGAACTGCACCGTCGAAATGAAACCACAGCCTGGGATTTCATAGCACTTACTGAAACCTGTATCTCAAACGAGACGCTAGGTCCGGAGATTTAAATCAGTGAAATATCGATAATTCGTAATGATCGTCCATCGAGATTACCTGAAGTGTGAGGCCATTGCCAAACATTTCTTTGATATTCCTGACTCTCTATTTCGCCTCCGCTGGCAGGTGGAGATCATGGATCACAGATGAAGACGCGTGATGCTTATCTCTTAGCAGTTGTTTACAGATCAACGAACTCCTCTACAGACAACGATAACATTCTGTTAAACATCCTCCACTACCTTGTTTTAAAAAAGTACTCTCACTGTCTTTAATGGGCGACTTTATTGTACCTTTAATAGTATAAGTGTCCCTCAGTGGGCCGTCATTCAAACAAAAACTTCTTGAATTCATGGATATGGCAGTTTTGTATAAACATGTGCATCGACCAACAAGACACCACGGTTCAAAGAACCCATCACCATGGGACTTAATCCTGACAAATAAATAGTTGATGGTAGAGTCAGTATCATACGACCCTCCACTGGGCCGTAGCGCCCGTTTAGAAATAAAGTCTGATTATGTGTGTTATGCCAGTATTGTTGATAAAAACGAGCAACTCGACGAACTACTGCCGACTAGCCCAACCTTCAAAACCTAGAGACAACCATTGCATGGAACCTCCAACTGCACAGTTCGGCGAACGACGCATGCAATGGAGTGAAAGGTAAAATTAATTGGATCATACAACTAGCCACAAAGGTTGTGCAATTACGAGCACCGGGCAGGACCAACAATCGGTTCCAAAGCAGAACACGTAACTGGAACAATAGGAGAGATGGGATTTGGAGGCAATACGTGCTAAGCCCATGTGATGCCACATGGTAGAATTACAAAACAATTAGAAACTACTACACGCCACTCAGAATAGACAAATAAGAATGCCAAGAGGCCATGATAGTCAATTTCACGAGTAACTCCAAACTGCTGTACAGTTATATGCATGGCAAAAGAATGGTTAAGCCTGGAATATCATCATTTAAAACGGCCAGTGGACTAAGGACTACTGCTGTAGGTAGCGCGAACGCTCTATTGCTGCAGTTTGGCTCAGTGGCCACAAATACCACGCCTTCGCCTTATCAAGCACCAACAAATACCGGTGGACTAGCTAGCATAACCTTTATTCCATCAGCTATTGCAAACATAGTGTTTTCGGGAAAACAGTGCCCCAGGAATAGACAAGAGATGCCCAAATGTACTCAAAACCCTTACTCCCATCACGGCAGTAGCTCTTGAGGCATCTTTACAGGGTCTGCCTGACTCCCATATACTCCCATCTAAGTGGAAAATTGGTACCATCATCTCTACTTACAAAGGAGCTAAGTAATCGGAACCTGCCAACTACCAACCTATTGCCCTCCTATCTGTTTTATCAAAAGTGAGGGAATCGGTAATCGTAGATTAACTGCCGCGATATTTTGAAAGTCTGCAACTAATTTCCAATGTCCAACCTGGTTGCATTCGCAGAAGATGTTGCCTCACCAATGTGCTGCTTACCCAGGACTCATGGACCAGGGCGGCTGATAAAGGAGTCCCCATAGATGTTTTTTATTCAGTCTGTTCTAAGAGATTCGTAAGCGTCATCCACTTAGTTCCCCTCAAAAAGCTTGCTGCCTTAGATATCAACGGCTCCTGCTCACTTTCATGGAAGGTTACACGACAGAACAATCAATGTAAGAACAGCCGACACTCACTCCGAAGGTTTGTGCTTCTCCAGTGGTGTACCACAAGAGTCCGTCCTCTGCCCGCTATTATTTTTAGTCTACATACATGACTTTCCAGCAAACAGTCTATCTCCGATCCAAATATTTGCAGCTGACGCTAAAATATTGACAACCTTTCATTCACCACCCGATCGTGCCTAGCTCCAGAACAATCTGGACCGGATTAACAAATGGTCTGAAAAGAACCAACTCCCGTTGAACCCTGTAAAGTTCCACACGCTGACGGTGTTCAGCAAATTCATGATAACGTATCTTTTGTGACAACACGTCCTGCAACACGTGACTACTGAAGGCGAATTAGGCATCCTCGTGCAAGGAAATCTTGCAACAAGCTACAGTGCGCGAAAGCAGCGAATGTGGCAAAGTTGAACTTGAGGTTTGTGAGGCGAGCTCTCGGCAACTTTGAGCGACGGCTAGTACCACTGCCGTTTAACTCGCATTTTCGTCCGCACGTTGAATGTGCAATTTTCGGCCTGATGCCCATGGTTAAAAGATAACGTGCGTGTTTTGGAGTAACCCCAAAGTAGAGCTATCCATGCAACACGTGAACTATCTGGTCTCAGTTACGAACACTTTCGTCTACTCGGTATGTTCTCCTCAGAATACCGACGGCTTCGCGGAGATCCCGTTCGTACATATGGGATACTAAATAAAGCACACATGTAATTTACTGCTGACCTTAGTTCTTCACCAACAAAGCCTAGGCCATCACCTGAAACAAGTGACGCAACATTCACCTTTTGACAGTAGAGGCATCAGCAGTACGTCAGTAGGCAGTAGCGAGGCTTCGCTGCCGCTCAACCACCACTGGTCGTATGTGAGCTAAAGATGCTGCAAGTGTCGCCGTGCCGCTATGCAGGCTCGAACCCGCGCCATCAGATTATAAGACAAGCTCGTTAACTTTAGGCTGCGGACCGGCCGTTTTGGTAGTAGAATATATTTTTACTCTCTCAGAATCTGTTCCTACTAGAATGCACCACCAACACATGTGGTGAATGCACCAGACATCGCGACATTCGAGCGACTTCTGAACTTTCATTCTAGTGGTAAGCGCTACATCACATTGTGATAAAGTGCAACGTCTAGACTACTGATAATGCACGTTCCACGTTGGAACATTTTGTTTTTAATTTGCTTTTGCATATCCGTCCTGTGGGTCTTGCAAATTTATGGGTTTTGTCCCATCATACACCATTGAACTATTGAAAATTAAGGAGTGCTTTCTTTTAGGTAAACAATATTGTATCAGTCCAAACAAATGATCCAGGTTAATGGAATACAGGTCCGTCAGTCAACCTACCCCATAGTTTTACCTGCATAGACAGCTATACCACCTGTAGCCAAATAATTAGTTTCATGTTAAATCAGAACGAAGTGTTGGGTCATTTAGTAATTTGTTCAACTATACTAATTTAGAGTTAGTTATCGGAGGATTGAACACTGCCTCGCCACATTTATCACGGCATGGTTCACGCTGCAGTGGCATTTGGCTACCGCCAACTGCGTATCAATGCTCATATCTGGTGCGAGGGCGAGGTAGATCATATGGGTTCCGTAAGGCGTCCCTTGGCGTCAAGCTAAAGCATGCGGCTCGTGCGATCAACATCCACCTCCCATCGGATGTATTGTGTTCCGGCGCTGTTGGGTGAAGTCCCAAAAGAATCAATCGTTGAGTCGACGAAAGCTTGTAAGGAAACTGAACGTGAACCTTATGTTGGTTCATGCAGTCCCCATGATTAAAATCTTTTGGATCCGTTCTGGTGCAGTTAAACATTTAATAGCGATCTTACATGCGATGTCTTACAGTTTACTGCCAATGTAGGTTCTTGACGGGTACGACACTCATATGCTAGCTATCCGGTGCACTCCCCTTTATTAGTTTATTTTATTGTGCTTTTAAGCATCTGTTACTTTGGTGACTGGAGTGTTTGCACCTGAATGCACCTTAATTCGGCGATGCAACCATGGTTGTTTGGACAGCTGATCCAAGTCGGTCCAGCTTATTGATTGATCTAACTCTTGTCCTCTGTAGAGAACGTGAAAAGAAAGCGATGGTGCGACAGTTGCTTAAAGAAGATATGATCCAGCAACGGGCGGTGCAGAAGGCTCTTCGAATATGTGAACATGAAAAGAATATTAAAGCGGAACAAATGGCAACGGAATATGTTTCAACGAAGGATGCGAAGGACGAGAGGATCAAACAAGAAAACAAGGCGCACCTACTGGCTTCGCAAAGTGTGCAGGTTGGCGAAAAAGAAAAACCACATCTTAGTTCCTTTTGTTGGTGTTCGCAACATAGAATCACACCAATACGCAAACCTGCGCACAAACTGATGAGAATAGCCAGTCTATATACTCCTACTTGATGTTGCCAAAACTGTAGCAAGCCGTTTGGCGTCCGTAACTTTGTTCCGACAAACTTTGTTGGAGCGCTTGTTTTGGGTCCTGTATTGGGCCAGCAATTACCGTCTGTTCCGCGCATAGCCACATTTAGACAGCAACTACCAAGTGTTGATAGGTGAATGGATATCACACACTGGGGCCCCGTAGCCATGAGGGTGCGACTTAATTTGGTGTGCTAACTTTCAAGCCTGCGCCGTCCATCTAACTGTACTGTGTACTACTGTTTACCAATTCCTAGACACCCGTACCAGATTGATGGGTGGTGTTCTATTGTTCAGCTTGGATGACAGACTAGGGATGGCTCGTCATTTCTTAACATGGACTCCCTGTAGTTCATTGACAGACATCTACTACTTAGAGTCCAGTTTTCCAAACCAAAGGATTTGGCTGAGAATCCTACTCCACCTTCTATCAAGTGCAGGGCAATTTGAAAGTACCGTGTCTACATTATACAACGAAACTCCTTCAAGCAACTTGTTGGCTCTTTGGCAGTCGCGGAGGATTAGGATCGAGGCCATATTTGCCGCTTTGAGAGGGGTGGACTGAGAGTGTGAGGGCCACGGATCAGGCTTTGTTATCTTCCTATTCCATTTCCTACATATTTTCATTTTGGCCGTACCGTTTCAACTTCAGTTTTATCCCTCTGTTTTCAATCCGCAATTTTTGACCCTTCTACTTGCAAATGTCAAATAATCACAGGACATCCCTCTGGTCAAGTCGCTAAGTAAAAGTCCAAACGAGCAATGCTCACAGTTCATGCCCTCATATTAGGAGTTTTCGATCCTCGCTAAGGCTCTCGGAGCAGTCAACAGACAGCGCTTGACAGAACATTAAAAACCTATCAATCGATAACTAATACTTATCAGAATACCACTAGCGAGGTACTAATTATGTACTTAATTTGTGATAATCTTCATGTGACACCGGCGGCATTTCCCCTTTCGTCTGTCTGAAGGTAACCTAGCTTCAGATACAGCGCAACTTGTCGCAGGTATTGCTCTGAGCCAGCGCGTACAAGCTACTCTGGTAGATGTGACCCCAGACAGTAGCCGGATGTGTATCGTAAGATTGACTGGCTCGTACAAAGCTTCGAAATCGTGCAGGAAAAATAGGTGCTTATTTATGATTGCTGTCTACTCACTCACATACTGTAGCGCTGACTGTATTGCCAAATGATCTACCTACTCCATTGCAGAATAATTTTAAATGCTGCAGTGCTGGCTGGCGATCAGAACTTTCAGTTTGGAAAGATGTCCAATGATGAGATACATCTAGATTCGAGGCGGTTCTTCCATTCACGTAGGCCCGACTGGCACTTCCCAATAAGTGGACCATGCCGTTATTGGCAACAGTGCATTCCAGTACAACGCCAAGGCTACAGTAACGTTCGATTCTTGGTAGAAGCGGTGCGAGGACCTGTTCACCGTTGATCTAGCCCGCCGCGATGACGCACGCCGGGTCCGGCTGCTTCTGCGCAAACTTGACACGCTCGAACGCCAACGCTACACCACTTTCATCTTGCCGAAGAATTCACTAGACGTTGCTTTCAACAAGACGGTCCGAACCTTGTCCCAGGTTTTTGGCGAGCAGTCCTTTCTGTTTAATGCCCGTTATCAATGCCTCCAGCTGGCCGACGACTTCATCACGTACGCTGGCATGGTCAACCGCGACTGCGAACACTTTCAACTTGGTTCGCTTACAAAGGACCAATTCAAATGCTTGATCTTCGTCTCTGGTCTCCAGTCTGCACACGATATCGATATCTGGACTCGACTCCTATCCAAGTTACAGCAGGATAGCACTGTCACACTCCAGAATCTGGCTGAGGAGTGTCAAACGGTCCCAGACTTATGCAGGTGGTGCTTCAATCTGAGTTTATGGTACCGCTCGCCTTGGAAAACTGGTCCAAATTCCGCATGAAGCTGCCAGCGGAAATTCGATTAAAGGCATCAGGTACGCTGCCACGGATTACCAACGACTCACGGGGAGCGATCAAATTGTTGAACCATCCACTCATGCAACTTTGTGAAGGCATAGATTTAACGACAACCACAATATCCCACGAAACACGGCGGAACACGGGGGACCAGCAGGGCCCGGAAGGCCGCGATCAGTCGTCTAACCGAAAGCAAACTCAAAGGCAAACGTCACCACAGAAAACGGTTAATGGCCGACCCGTTAACGGTCGGCACAAACTCCATTCCTACCACAACCTGTGCTAGCTTACTCTTGGTTACAAAAGCACTATCCTGCATGTATACTAATGCACAAGGCCTCATAAGTAAGTTGGTAGAACTCCGTCACCGTTTGGCTTCGGAGCCTCGAGACATCATAATGATCGCCGAAACCTGGCTGAGCGGCGAAATCACAGACGCTGAGATTGCCATACCGGGTATGTCACTTCTCCGGAACGACAGAACGGGCAAGGGCGGTGGCGTGCTCGTTTATTTCCGAACGAACCTTCCTTGTGAGCTCATAGACGATCCCCAGACTTGTGTCACCGACGTCCTTTGGTGAAAACTGTGGTTGGAACGCAACGACGTATGCCTTCTCTCTGTGGTTTACCGACCACCGAAATCCACTCCGGAAAGGGACAACAGACTTATCTCCGCTTTTCGCTCCGTGCTTAATCAGAAGTACAGCCACATCCTCGTTGCAGGAGATTTCAACACCCATGACTTGGAAAATCCAGCATCCGAGACAGAAGTGTTCAAGGCATATTTGCAAGAGCTACTCTCTAGCACCTTCTTGTATAACCACGTCACCGTTCCAACCAGGTTCAGAACAGGAAACAACCCATCGATATTAGATCTAGTGCTCACTAACGAAGAGCTCATGGTCGATGGACTAAAGGTGTGCAGTCCTTTGGGCCGTAGCGATCACGTGACTTTGCAGTTTGATTACATCTGCTACGCCGAATATCCACCTGCGGAGCTCGAAACGAGGCAATCTGTTACCCATTACCACGTTCTGTCTGCTCTAGTTGAGAATACCAGTTGGACGTTTCTAGCTAACTGCACCCCAGGACTAGCCTGGGAGACATTTGCGAACACCATCACGTCACTAGTCATAGAAGCCTCAACACCAAAAGTTTCCCAACATCCCCGCACAGCGAAATCATTCTTGCGAAGCCGGACGCGAAAATGCATGACTCTAAGGGATCGGGCATGGCGCATGTATAAAAGCAACCCCAGCGCAGAAAACTGGACGGAATACGTTTCGCATCGCAACTACTGTGTGCTTTTGGTTCGCGAAGACAAGAGAACGCATCAGCAGGAGCTAGCCAAACGATTCTGTTCGAACAAAAAGCTTCTTTACAAACATGTGAATGGACTTCGCAAGGTGCAACGGGGAATCCCACCACTTAATACGACCAATGGGTATACACATACTGCGAAGGAGGCGGCCAACGAATTACGGGCCCAGTACTCCCCAATCTTCCAAGGTGTACAAGCCTCGACGTATATTCCGCCACTAGTTACCCCACCGTCCGTTTTATCCAACGTCACGTTCACTGCAGAAATGGTGCTGCAAAAGCTGCTATCCTTGCGTCCACACAGCTCTCCCGGGGCCGATAACATTCACCCGAAAACATTACAGGTAGCTGCCTTCCACTTGGCCGAACCACTAGCTGCATTTTTTCAGCGATGTTTCGATGAGAACATCTTACCTTCGAGGTGGAAACAAGGTGTAATAACGCAAATATACAAAGCAGGAAGTCGATCGGATCCTGCCAATTACCGCCCCGTAACGCTTCTGCCTGTGATCGCCAAAGTCATGGAAGCGGTGATAGCAGATACGTTAATGGGATACTTGGAAAACTACGGCATAATTGCGCCAGAACAGCATGGGTTTCGTCAACACCGTTCATGTATGACGAATCTGCTGATAGCTCGTGACAACTGGACCGAGACTGTCGATGAGGGAACAGGAGTCGATGTTGCATTCTTGGACTTTTCGAAAGCCTTCGATCGCCTGGATCACCGAATCCTGCTCATTAAACTCCAACAGTACGGTATCGGAGACCCGTCGTTAGAATGGATCGGTAACTTTCTCTCTGAACGGCAGTTAGAAGTTAGAGTTCGATCATCCTTTTCCGATCCGATTCGAGTGGGATGCGGCGTACCGCAGGGTTCGGTACTTGGGCCTCGTTTGTTGCTGCTTTTCATTAACGATCTAGCAAGATTTATTACGTCGAAATTCCTACTCTTCGCGGACGACCTCAAGGTTTGGCGGGCGATAAAACGATCGGACGACCATGAAGTCCTACAGCGTGACTTGAATGAGGCCTAGAATTGGTCGGTGAGAAACGCCCTGCCGTTTAATGTGAACAAATGTCGCGTTGTTCATATCCGCCATCGACAAGTCCACGTCTACAAGCTTGGGGCACACGATCTGAAGACCACCACTCAGGAACGCGACTTGGGTGTGCTGGTACAGGAAGACCTCGGGTGTTCCAAACAGTCAGATGCCGCTTCTAAAAGGGGCAACCAGCACGTTGGACTCCTGCGAAGAGCATTCGGAATTTTGGATCCATCCATCTTCTCTTTGATGCTGAATGCCTACGTGCGTCCTCACGTCGAATATGCAATCCAGGCCTGGCAACCCTGGCTAAAACGTGACCTTGCAGCGCTTGAGACCCCACAACGTCGAGCAACGAAAATCGTCAAGGGCTTGCGCCACACTCCTTACCAGGAACGACTGGAGATACTCCGAGTGTTCAGCGGACGGTACCGGCGACTTCTTGGAGACCTCATACTAGTGTACCAGATATTGAGCGATCCCAGTCACGTATGCCGCCACCTCTTGAAGCTCAGCCCGAACACTAACCTTCGCGGTA